CAGGGCGGGAGGAATACAGTTTCAGGCCAATCTGGGCCCTCATTCGCATTGAGATCTGGACGGCTGAGGCATACAGCACCCGGGGTCCAGACCCCGCGCCAACACTACATAAGAGCTGACTTCCCGGCTTTGACGGTCATTCAGTCTTGCGTCAATGCTGACTTCACGCATTGACTTTGACGCTGGTGCGACGCTGCTACACTGGCTGGATGCTGGTTCTATGCTGGCATATGAGGAGAGACGGCGACGCGCTGCTGGCTGGCATGGTGGCTGGCTGGCAATTGTCTTCYTGGCATGCTGATGTGGCAGCTGCCACGCGCTGCCGCTGACGTGGCTGCTGCCACCTGTACTCTGACGTGGTGGGGCTACGTGATTGATAGTGCTGTTCTGATTCATCATCACTTCGGAAGGAGATCAAGACTGTGGGGTTATTGTAGATACGTACCTGGTATCTTGATGCGACATTCTCCAGTTCGTTGATGAGGACAGGCTGATGTGCCACGTGGCACATTGAGAGAGAACTTCAGATTTGTGTTCGGGTTATTGATTATTGAGGTGGCGAGAGAATAGGGAGCCCGAAGCAGGAGTGGGCATTGTTGATTTCTCCCCTCTCAGTCTATTCTCCCCGCTCTCTTCTTCGTCTGTGTATGATTTCCCATCTCATTCTATCTGGACACAATTATGATTATTTAACATTCATCAGCAGGTTGATATCTATATGTGTTGGCATTGTTGACAAGTATCTTCACGATCTGGGTTCACTGCAATTTGGTATCAGAGCTATACTTCCGATGATGTGACAGACTACAACGACGACTTTGACGACGGTGGAAGTGGTGACGCCTACAACAGAGGAGCTAACATGGACAAGAAAGGGACAGCGCACGTCAGGTACTGACGTGGCATTGGTATCTCGACAAGGGAAGACCAGCAGGATCGCTCTGCGATCCAGATTCCGATCGACCGCATCTGCGATCGGGACGACATTGCTGACGTGGCCGGTGACTGTTAGGGAGTGCTGACGTGGCATTACTGACTCACCATTCGTTTACTGTGGTGAAGAGGCTTCGGCTGACGTGACACTTTCCGACGTGGCACTCCATCACCTGGCTTACGTGGCATTGTACGACGCGCTGGTACCGTCCTGACATGTATTCCATTGATGTTGCTGACTGGACTATAGTGCTGACGTGGCAGACTCAAGCGCTGCTGTGTTGGCACACCAGGGAATACACGTGGCAGGCAGGAAAGTGACCGGCGAAATCAACGCACATTGCTGACGTGCACCCCGTTGATGACTATGATTGGACATGCTGACCTGGCATACTCTTCGAGTTGCTGAGTTGGCATGTCAGGGGTGACACGTGGCAGGCACGGTCGTGCCTAAGTAAGAGTTGCATTCTGATGACTGAAGCGGCACGGCTAGAAGACTGAAGTGGCTGTGGTGCCAAACGTCAGATTGGGTGCTGATCACATAGGACAGAAGA